ATGCAGCCGTGTCGTGGTACACGCGTGATTCATTTGTATATCGCCTCTTAAATAAAGCTCTTCGAACAAGAGATATTGATATTATATTTAAATTTCGATTTTTCATTGCTGATCTTTATCGACAATTACAAAAAGAATATTCGAAATTCATGGAACGTTTCACGGATCACGAATACTTTCTAACGGTGTATCGAGGACAGCATTTAAAAGCTGATGAATTATAAGAGCTAAAAGACAATATTGGCCGACTAATTTCAATGAATACTTTCATATCAACAACAAATAAAAAAGAAGTGTTATGAAGGACGCAAGATGAAGTACTTTTTTTCAATAGGGGCCATATTTCGAATAGAATCTGTCGAAAAATCAACTGGGAGTGAAATCTGGAGTGTAGAATTGTTGTTGAATCGTGAAGTCGATGAACAGTTGAAAGTGCTGAGCGAACAGATAAGAGAAGAACATGATCAATCATGTGATTTAAACATGTTGGGACATCTATTAAGTCAAATGGGTGAATATGCTAAAGCTGAACGATAGGTATTACAGAAGAGTGATAAATGTTACGTTGCCAAATGACTCTGATATAGGTGCGCTTTACAACAACATTGGACTGGTTTACAGTGATCAAGGCGAATATTCTTAAGCATTGAAATATTATCAGCAAACTCTTGCAATCCAGTTGACGACTTTGGGACCGAACCATCCAAGTATGGCAACAACGTACAACAACACTGGACGGATTTACAAAGATCAAGGCGAATATTCTCAAGCATTGACATATTATCAGCAAGCTCTTGAAATTGAGTTGAAGACTTTGGGACCGAACCATCCAAGTGTTGCAACGACGTACAAGAACATTGGTGTAGTTTATAATGCTCAACAATTGCTTCAATCTAACATCTCTAGAATCAAACATTGATCAAACTTTCGAGATATCTTATTCATTATAACAGCTGTGGATGATTTAGTTTGTAAAGAAATACTATCGAGCCAAATCCAGGTTCTGACAGGTTGTGATCGTTGATGTCACAAATTTGGCTGAAATTTATATCATATGTAGGCCTCTATGAGCTAAGTTTATCATAAAATTTCAGCATTTGCATTTACTTCGTTTAAAGGTCACTGGGGTCGAAAGTGATGGACTCACAAACTGGGCAAAGAGGGAAATTAATAAAAATAGATTTTCTCCGGAGCAAAGAAATATTTCATCTGAAATTTCTAGCATATATTAGCATTAGTGTAGCTGATATATGAACAAAATATTTCGGCTAAAAATGTTTTGTTTGGTAAGCATGAGGATCATGGGGACCTCATTTAATCTGGTTTTAGAACAGGTTTTTGTGCTGGTAGCAAATAGCTAAATATCCAAAACGGCTCTAAAACTTTGTCCAGAAATATTGGCTTTGCGCCCCAACAATTAAGAATTTATTATAGCTTTTAGTACCGTGTTTGAATCGCGCGAGGAAAATTTCTATGAAGATATAAATCATTTTTTTTGCAGTGAAGTGGTGAGCAGTTGACATTTTTGAGACTTTCTATATTTTGAGTACAGTGAAAGACGGTTATCATCTTAATCTAAACACAGCACTAGAAACTAGAGAAAATTCTGCGTCTTTTAAGCTCAGAAACGCCTCAACAACAATGTAGCACAGTCTCAGCAATGATAGAAACAAGATAAATAAATAGTAGTTTTTTACTAGCTTTTCCTTAAATAGTGAACGATGAATTTTGTTAAATTTGGATTTCGCTAGTTGATCTTGACAGTAATTGACAGCTTGGTAAAATGTTTGGTAGAGAATGTTATGCTAGTTATTATCTCTTCTTAAGCGACTTCTTTTTCAATAAGACCAGCAATCTGCGTTCGTCAAAGTATTATCTTTACGTTTACGTAACTAATGTAAAGCAGATGTAACGCTTACGTCTCACAGGGCAATTTTTGATAGGTAAGCGGACATTTGGTATAAAAAGCAACTAGCTGACTCAAAAAAGAGTTTTTATAGGTTTTGTGTTATGTTCCTTGACGATCATAGTCCTTTCTATTTCTTCTTTGTTATGCATGTATGTATAGTATTTCTTTTTCTTTGTTATATGTATTGATATCATCGTCCATTTCTTTATTTCTATTATTATCATTCTTGACTATATTCGTCTGCAGATCATTTAGTTTACTTCAATTTTACTATTTTTCTTTTATTATATTCCATACAGTTTTGTCTCGAATGTGACTATTTTTCTTCATTTTTGTCAGCTGTTATTGTCAAGTTTAGTCGTTACTATTTGCGTCGAGCGTACCCCCCTCAGAATTTGCCAGTTTGTAGAGGACACCTTCAAGGGTATACTTGTGCAATAACTCACGGCTTGGATAAGTTTTCGCGGAGAGGTGAAATCTTTAAAAATTGAAAAAATCCATTTTGCCAGGTATTTCATCCCAGTTAAACTTACCAAAATGCATCGTTGACGCGGCGGACTGCGCAAGAAATACTTTTTGCACTAGCTGCAAAATAGCTGGGAAAATGGATTTTTTCAATTTTTAAAAACTTCACCTCTCCGCCAAAACTTATCCAACCCGTGAGTTATTGCACAAGTATTGAAGGTGTCCTCTACGAACTGGTAAATTCTGAGGGTATGTTTTTTTGGGGGGGGGGGGGGGGGGGGGGGGGGGGGGGGGGGGGGGGGGGGGGGGGGGGGGGGGGGGGGGGGGGGGGGGGGGGGGGGGGGGGGGGGGGGGGGGGGGGGGGGGGGGGGGGG